ACACCTATAATAACTCGTGACATCTGGAACAATGCAAATACATTTTTGTATATTTTTTAAAAAAAGTATCACTTCTATTGTTTGATACAAACACCTATTATTACTACGAGGCTGCAACAAAGCAATTGACCAACAGAAAAGATAATTTTGTGTGGATTTTATACTGTGCTTTGAACAGGAGGCAGAGCCACCGTGACAGTTGGGAAATCCCTAAGGCTGCACCTTTTGACTAACTTTCCAATTTCACAGTCTTCAAAGCTTTGGTCTTAAAACTGAAGCCTCGAAGAAAATAACAGGGGAGCACCCAGTCTGGTTGTTTGTGGCGGGGGGGGGGGGAGGCTTACAGGTGAAACTTAACTGGAGCTACAAAAGTCCCTTGGATCCAGCTTTGTATAACACGTAGTCTGAGGTTAAATGAGGTTACTCCTCACCTGTTTTATAGGAGCATTTATAATCTCAGTCACTATTATTCTGAAATATGATACAGTGTCCAATTTGTATGAGAATTCAATTTAGGAGAAACAGAAGATATATCATATATCATGATGGAATATTACCCACAACAAATTTCACTGTCAGCAGCAGGTCAAACACAGTGGCTGCAGTTTTTGAGCACTTTAGACTTAAATAATTATTTTATTTTTGAAATACTGTTTATGTTTCCACTTTGTCAAATGCTTTGATCCAATGACGAGAAAGGTTGAGACTTTTCTTCGTGAACTCACGTCTACATTTTTTGTAATGAAATGGAAAGAGTTGGTTTAACAGGATTTCTGGCTCATGATTACTCATGCTGGTGACATACTGCTGGTTGAATTACTTTTCATGTGCCTAATGTTAAAGCACAGCAGCATTATAATACCATAGGGATCCAACAGCGCACTCTCTTTAATGAACCCAATGATTCAGTGCATTAGATTATATGGCTGTCATGCCTTGCTATCACTCAGGCAAATGCCCTAATCCCACTCGAACAACTGCCTCCAACAGCTGCACACTTCCTGCCACGTTCAGACACGCCTAGAAGCTGCAGCAGCGTCGGCGGCAGCAGCAGCAGCAGACGAGTGCAGGCATTCAGCCAAAGAGAAGGATGAAGAAGAGGTCAGGGAGCAGAGCCAATATTTACATGAGGAGATGGATTCGCAGGGATACCTTACAACTCATTTTACTACTTCAACACTACCGCCTGGAAAAACAACATTTTGGCTAATTATAATGAATTATAACTTAGTTTAAATATCCAGTTTTAAATATCCATTAAAATGGCAAAATACAGTAAAGTATGGTGTCCACTGACCCAGTTACCCATGGGCCATTGCATACAAATAAGAGAAAATCGGGGGGAAAAAAGACCAAAAACCCAATGTAATTACATTTAGTAATACTTTTTGCAAATAATTTGACAAGAAGGCTTAGCCAATAAACAATAAGCCGATAAAACAACTGCTGAAGGGTAGCCAACAACTAAATCAAATTCAGCCAGAGGTTAGCTTACCTGAATAGTTTAAAATAGAACGTTTTGTGTTACCCAAAGACAACAACAAGCCATACAGTGGGCCACAATGTAGTTTAAGGTTTAAAAAACAAAAACAAACAATGGCCAAAAAAAAAAAAAAAGTTGAAAAAAATCAAGCCAAGAAACACATTTTAAATAGCTTTTAATCGGACCCCGAACTAAAAAGAAATAAGGAAACGTTGACGGACAAAAGCGTTTGATTAATCAATTAGGAAAATATAGTTAGCTTTCAAAATAGGAATTAAGTAGTCAAATTTACCTTGCAGTTTTTTAAAAAAGGCTACTGACATTTTACAGGGGCAGCAAAATACACCATTGAAATGATCCTTCCCTGTTTTGGTAACCAAAACCACAAATTAAGCTTCCTAGGTGTCTTTTCTGGCCCGGGGGCCAGAGTTCACAGGTGACTGAGCTTGAGGGAAAAAGTCTGTATTAGTTTCAAACACGCAAGGAAACAGTTTTCCAGCTGCTGTCTAATCACTAGCAACAGGATTTACTACAAGTCCATGTTCTCCTGATGAAGACTGGGAGGACCTAAAGACAAAGACTTGACTTGGTACAAAGAATTCCGTGCGCTGAGGAGACTTTATGTATCTTCTTTTTGTTCTGGAAATGTCGTCGTAAAAGCTACGCTACTGTGCTAAATTTACTGCCTGTACCACTTGCCCATTCCTGTCACACAACATGACCATCATACTGATGAAGCCTGCTCTATGAGATCAATAGACTTCAGTGTAGAGTGAATCAAGTGAGCAACATGTTTGGGTTTCTGCTTGTGCTCAGGAAAGGTTTCATTCCATACAGCAGAAACGCTTTAAGCCACAAATTGTATTTGAGGTAAGTACCCTTCAAGGTCCATAACAGAGGAGGTCCTTATTTTGACAGGGTCTGGTTAAGTTGCTCCTTTTAGAATGACCTGGGTTTATAACAGTGGACAGTAATCTAATCCTAAAACAGTCAGGTTTACTCCCATCTCAGTAGGAGGTAGAGGGGATTAAGCCAAAGGAACCTAATTGAGACAAGGCGGATGGAGTTAAAACACAAGGATTTGGTAGGACAAAAAAAAGAGCTGAGGTGGAGTTGGAGTAAACATTGTCCTTTGGAAGAATGCTGAAGGATGGGTTCCATCTAATTACACTGAGTAAAGCTTGCTGGAGTTCAGCAATCCATCAGTGGACACTGTGCTAGATTCTATTTATGGTACCCACTCAGAGAATACAGCTCCATGTCTGTGTTTACTGTCAATTTCACCTGTTGCCTGAGCCCGAGCTGGCTCTCACAGAGTAGCATATTGGCTGCTGTCCTAAATCTCCCTCTTCATTAGCCTCAGCTATCCCTTCTCGATCCTCCACCCCACCCCCCACTATCACCACCACATCCCACCCTATCTTTCAGCTGCCTTTGCAACACTGGTTCAGAATTCATTTCAAATGAATGGAATAGTTTAAAATAGTCTTTACAACTGTGTTGCATTCTAAGGCGGGTCATCCCTACATTGGAATCTTGGTATTCATTTGGTGGATTCTGAACTGCAATCTATTGTCAGATTCTACTGTGATAAAAAAGAGTGAACATATGCATTGAGTTCTCACAGAAGAAAAATTATAATAGTATATAAGTAATACTTTTTTTTCTCGCCGTTACAATTGTATTCCAGGACTAAATACGAACGTAAACAACAGAGGAAACACTCTGAATTTTAAAGTTGTACTGAGATATTGCCAAAAGTGCAAAGCACCAAAATCAAACTGCAACGTATTCATTTTTATTTTGAATTAAGCAGGCATGTAGGAATAACTTAACCAATTATTGATCAACTTTGCATCCACGAGGCTGAATGATTTGCAATGCTTCACACTTCATTAGCATCATAGCTTTGAAGTAGAGCAACAGCAACTGCGATAGCTAAGAAACACACTCTGCCAGAAAATCAGTACTCTGTAAAGCAAAATTATTTCTAAAGCGAATGCATACAAATAAGACAACATAAAAACTATTTATATTCATGAACATGATTCATGAGCCTTTGACCACATTTGCATGTAGCTAACACTTCCCCGACATTCATTTGGAATTCAACCCTATTTGCCCATTGAATAATATCTGTCAATTAGCTAAACATTATTAAATGACTTTCTCTCAGTGATTAAACCTTTTGTTGTTTGTCTTCGTCTTGTGTTACTTCCATGTTCACTGTGACACTGACTAGATTACAGCTAAATCAATTACTTGATGTAACTGTTAGTCAATAGACAAAAAAATCTATACGCCACAAGGTTTTGGGTCAATAGGCCTAATTCGTTTCTGATTTGGTCAGTTGGTGGAACAAAGCCACGCTGGTATAACATCTATCCATCGTTACCACTTATGCTTTGACGATTGTGAAGGGTTTGGAGTCGGTCCCAGTCTGACACTGGGTGACAGCCAGGCTTTGTCCTGAACAGGTTCACACTGCCAACCAACAGACACAAACAGCCATGAACATAAAGGGTAACAGACTGCATGATGACAGGTAGTGGTAGGCATCGCACCCTCCTGTAGCGATCAACATCTCAAAGCAATTAACAAACTGGTCAACAATGTCACAGCGGTGGGAATATTACTTTCATGAGCTTGAACTACATTCAAAAGGGTTTTACCTGTTATCTTAGGTCACTGTGACCTTGATACAGCACCACCCAAATCTAAGTAGCCAATTTGGAAGTGCACACTAACATTTGGTCTGCATTTGGACTATGTCCAGATATCCCAAAGAGGCAATTCCATGAGATAACATTTGAATTTGTGTGGCCACAGTGTCCTTGAAGTTAAATGTTCAGCCAAGAAATCCTAATTAGTTCATCCTTAAAATCGGTGTTCTTAACCAGTATTTATCCAGACCAAGGTCAGAGTGAACCCCTGATCAAGCTTCTTAGGTACCACTAATATAAAGAGGCCATGTTAAGTTTGATTCCTATACCTGAGAGTAGAATGTAAATCAGTCAAAAGACCCAGACCAACGTCTCTGTCTTGGCAGTTGTCCAAGTTTGGTCATGCTCTCACTGGTGTGGTCTTGATTGTAACACTGAATTCAATACCTGTTTACTCAGACCTCCATTAACCTTTCACCTTTAAATTGAATGAACCATTCCGAGCCTGCGTTTTAGATTGTGACTGTGTAAACAGATTAAGCAGCAAATACATGACTAATACCTGAGCCACACACAAACACAGCCCGATGTACCTCTGTCGGACCTGTTTGTACACATTAAGTAAGCCTTTTTTTATTTTATTTTTTGCGTTTACAGTCTGGTTAAAGTGACGAGAAACACCTCTGACTCAGAGAAGACCAAGGGTTTCTCAGCTGAGCTTAGTCATGTGGTTTTGCCTGCAGTACTGTGCAAAAACCCGAGGAGACCATCGAGACCTTTGTTACACTTTTGTATTAAAATCTAAAGATAAAACCAGAATATCTATACAAAAAGGTGTACATCAGGATAGAAAAAGCAAAAATATATTTCATATTTAATTATTAATATACCTGCATTTAAGCAGAATGTTGTGAAAGAATTATAACCAGGAGTTGTGCATTAAAATGTACCAATGAATCATTCTTATATTGTAGCTCACTTTTCAGTTATATTTTCAGAATCAAGATAGTCAATTACTCTTTAACGAGTTCCCTTAAACATTACGTCATGAATGTGATAGCAGGAGAAAACAACGAATTGTGGGCAAAAACCTTCATACACCAGATGGAGAAGGAGGAAAGGTGAAGATGAAAACAAAGAGTACACTGTAGGAAAGGTGAAGATGAAAACAAAGAGTAACTGTAACTGCAAGTAACTGCGTGTAAAACGTTAGCCATTAGCAACAGCGCTTAAACCTGGGGATAATTTTAAAAATAAAGTGGGAAAAAAAGAGCAGAAAAACACGATTGTGAAATAAAAGCCTTTAAAGGCTGTAAAGTTAGGCAACAAACGTCCAAACAAACAGTCTGAAAACGGAAAACACACGGTCACATTTTGTTTACATAAACAATGTTTGCACTTCATCTAGCGTGACTGTAGTCCAAACAGAAAAGGCGTAAGGTGACGTAAACCGCAAAAAAGACGCAAAAAATATTAATTAACTAAACTTTAATTGCTCTAATGACTTCATATTAATTTTATATTGTTTTTTCTTTTGTAAATCGAAATCAACTGTAACGTATTTCGAAACATAAAATACTCATTTATCATATAAATATTTGCGCAGCAAAATAAATATGGGTTTATATCCCTTTGTTATAGTTTGTTTAAAATAATAATAAAATAACATTGCTCAAACTCTCAAATTGACAACAAATACACGCCACAAGCTGTTTTTTGTGTGTTAATTGGTCCGTTAACGGCTCCAATTACACAGTCATTAATTACACCTCCATATCCCCAACAATAGCGATGCTGTCAACTTGAACACAGTCCAGAGCCATAAAAGTAAAGATGCTGGAGGCAGAAATGTGCGAAAACACCGACAGAACCGTAAAGACACGCGTTTTTACTCAAAATGTGTTAATTAACGGTCCGCTGCGGCCAAAAACGTTCTCATATCAATAAATTAACTTTAAAAGTGTGACAGGAGCATCCACAGACAACACACGCACGTTAGGTCTCGTGAAAACAGACTCCCTTTTTGGGGGGGACTTATTTTGTTTTAAAATGCCAAAAGGCGTTTAAACTGAGAGTTTAAGATGTTTTTTATTTGTTTTTGGATTTTTTTTTTTTGAATGACTGGAACTCACCGCTGCAGCTGAGGAGGCAAACCTGAAGAAGGAGGCAGAGAAACGGTCCACGGATGAGGCGGAGGAGAGCCATGGCTGTATTGCTTCACGTATCCAGTCCAAAACAAACTGAAGTGTAAAAGGGGCGTGAGGAGAAGTTCAGCCGCAGCCTGGAGGAAGAGGAGGAGGAGGAAGAGTAGCAGGAGGCGGGGGGGATGCACGGGGGAAGACGGGGGGAGGAGGGAGAGGAGAAGGAGGGAGTTGGATTTAAATATCAGACTAGATGAGTCTTTCTGTTCTGCCGTGTGTGCACGTGTACGTGTCTTTGTCAGGACGCAGAGACGTATTTCGGTATAAAATCTCCACTTTAAGGACATTTGGACACTTTTAGTGTACTTGCCATTCTTAGCATGTTTTAAAGGACTCGAGACTTGTTTTTGCGACTGTGCACAACCCCATATTTTCATAGCTAACGGACATTGAAACACACTCACTTGAAATGTACAGGTCTTATATAGGTTATAGGTTCACTGTGAATAATTTGAAACCCCATATTTTCTATACTGTACTGTACCGTACTGTGGTGTGGTGAAGTTACTTGCAGTAACTGAATATCCCTCACTTCACTGGTCCTGTCTGAGCAGGTCTAAAATCCTTAGGTTGTAGCAGCAGTTGGTCTATTACAGCAAGGGAGGCTTAGACTTTTTAAAGATTTTTTGTTTAGATGCTGAATGGATAAGATAGTTAAATATAACTTTATTAATCCCTCTGGAGTTCCCTTCAGGAAATTATGCAACATAAAATAGCTAAAGCTTATGTTACTTAAAAAAAGAAAGGACTCCATATTGTTGTATAATGTTTGCCTCGTGGTACAGTTTATACTGTAAATAAGCTATTCTAATTTTATTGTTTCTGGTTTATCCTATCATGCTAACTTAATGTTTTTTACCGTCTTATGGTAAGAGCTAAGCAATGAGACTTAGTTTAAACGAACGCTGCAAAGTCCCAACAAGTCTAGTTTTGCAAACCTCTTCATATACGGTTGTGAGTGTGTGAGCAAGCAGCAGCTTAATCAGTATTTAACCTCATATTACTTGCAAACATGCACATACATTTCTTTTCCTAAAATCCTCGGGGTCATGTCTGAGTAAGCATCTTATCGTGCCGCCACACATTTTAGCCTAAATCACATGGACTGATGGTTACATTCATCTCGCTCTGGGACACTTATAATTAGCATCTCTGTAGCAGCTGAAGGTAACAAACCCATTTAAATGTGAGACTGAAATTTTATTTCGGTGGTCGTGGTAGCATATGGAGTGCAGAGACGATACAGTAAAGGCCCCTCTGGCCAAAATAAACTGGGGACCAAATTCACTTTTCACTGGACTTTTTCCACTCGGATTAAACAACTCTTTATCACCGATTCGTGACAAATTTCCTTCGTTTTCTCATTTTAATTTAGTTTTTTTTTTTTAAGGCTTACGCGTGATTTTCTTCTCCACATTGTCTGTCAAATGTTTGCACATTATTCCAATGACGTTTAGCATCTGACTAATATTTCACAACTGCACAACGTGCAGTGTTTTACTCAACAACACTGAATGGTTGACACACACGCACCTACAAGTATATACAATAGTAAGTAGCTAAAATGCTATATTGCAGCATTCCTAGTACACAGAGTCTGGTTATTTCAACCAAAATTATCCAAAATTTGAACAGGGGGGTCGGGTCAGGAGCAGATAGATGTAGCATTCTGAGTGAGTTAAAATAAATGACATGTAAATGTCAAGCATAAATGCTAAAATGCTAAAAAGCTTTATAATTTTCTACGCCATCTATTGGGGAAACGTGGATATTGCAGGGAAAAGGCTGAAGTATAATGATAATATAAATAAATTATATAATTTGGAAAAGCTGAGCGAGCCGCATCCGACGCCCCGGGCCTTAGTTTGCCCATGTCTGCCATATACTAATACCCTATATTGACCTTTGCTCTGTTTACTGACTAATGATTAATGTATACATTGGTCAGGTGGTTTTTAGTCACTTACATGAAGCCACTGAGGCCATATATCAGGACCTAGTCTCTAATTTTCTGACCAAGATACGTATCTTTTATGTGTTCTTAGCCCGAGGCGTGACACGAGAACAGCCATGTCTTTGAAGTAGAGAGGAATGTAGTGGAAGTTCTGCAAGTAATTCTGTCTTTGTTTCTTTTTTTAAGTTCGTCAGACAAAACCTAGCCATTTATTGTGAAACTGTATAAGCCATCAGCAGTAAAAACTGTATTTTGTACAAGACAAAAAAAACACACACACAGTTTACTCACTGTTAGTGTGAACAAACTAGGTCACACTTAGTGATAAATCAGTGAGCCTTCAGAGAAAAGATTAAGTTCCAGATGTTTTTGAAATACTTGCGCATATTCTCTTGCAAAAAATGATTTGCATAAATCTTCATGAATAATAAAACGAAGTTGCTCCCTGCAGGAGTCACAACAGCAGATTATCCTTACATATGATATGGCACGTTTTACACCGCAGGCTATTGCCGACCTCATGACAACAACTGGTGGACACACACTGTGCCTGCACACAAAGAGCATCTTGGAATTTGGAAAGTTTGGTTTGTTTAGTAAAAAGAACACTAGTGGCTGGATGTCAAATATGTGCTTCTCATTTCAAAATGTTTCTTTGGTAAGATTTAACGGTCCTAACCCTAATTTGGACCAAACAATGAGCTCATCCATATGAGGAGGACTAAAAGTAAACCAACATCAACACACACCTTGGTTGTCTCACTCTGAAACATACGATTATATTCTTGGTTTGGGCCCCAACTCTCCGAAGACCACGTTCTTTATCTTCTGGTCCACAGCCATAACCTGGACAAACAGATCAAATAATATCTTCTTATTTCCCCAACTAGAAACCGAGCCAATAATAAGAATATTAACATATCTTTCTGCACTTGAAAAATGATGGCATAACCTCGAGAGAGAGATGTCATGTTGCGCACAATACGGTGTTCAGAGCGAGGACTGAGGTAAGGTTGGATACTTTGGAGCTCTCCCAGTTACGTGAGCTGGCGGCTGGTGTTTTCATCGCTGACTGTGGAGTCACCTTGGCCGACAGCTGCAGAAGAAAAGCCTCCCGGAGTCGGTGGAGCAGCTGTCCAGCTCCCATCATACATCAACCCACAGCCCGCGGACGCACGCACAAGCATTTAGACATGGAGACAAAGATCCTGTGGTCAGAGGACACTTAAAGCTCGCTATGGTTTTACAGGAGAGTGTTTTCAAACATGCGCTGCATGTGTGTGGCAACCGAGTCACAGTCCAATGGACCTGTTTGTACTGATATACATTACTGTGAGCTATTAATTTTAACCAGACTGCACTCTAGAAAATACCACAACAGTTCTACTTGGACAGAAGTATGAATACTCTAGAAAATACCACAACAGTTCTATTTGGACAGAAGAAGTATGAATTGTGTTTCAGGTCTGAAGAAAAGCCTGTGCAATTTGGATTTTGTCCCAGTGAGATGAAATTGAAGAAGAAAATGTGTTTTTTTTTTTTACTGGTTCACGTGTGTGTCTTGCAGAAAGTTACATACAGTGTGTATCCTGCAAAATTTTTGCCTAAAAAAAAAAATTGTTTTTCTTTTCTTTGCTCAGCTCAGTTTATCTCTCAAAGCTCCTGTGCCAAAGTAAATATTTAACTTACTTTTTTTTTCTATTTGTGTTCCGTCTGTGTCTTCACAAAACCATTGTTTGTCTTATCATTTTGCAACCCATGACAGAGAGCAAGAAGCTAAATTCAGAAAAGCAATTTTAAAAATGTAACGTGATAAATGTTAGCCGATAGGCTTAAAATCTAATCAACACAGCAAAAGATAGCATTAAAATCCTTCCAAATCATCAAAAACTAAATAAAGGAGTACTCTTTTATCAGGCAAACAGCAGTGTAAATAATAGATATATATAAACCCCAAAATTTTATATTCGTCAACTGTTTATCTAAACCTGGACTTTTGTAATATTCTACATCTTCAGCTTCTGAGCCGAGTCTGTCAGCAGCAGAACATACAGTAACATTCTTTAAAAAAAAAAAGGTTTCTTCCCTGTACTCTTCTATATGAATCCGACAAATCAAAATAAACCGAATTTGAGCTCAGTGCCGAATAAAAAGAATGGCAGCAGCTGCAAACTCACAAACGTATCGTCGACGTTCATATCAGGGAATATTTGGTTTGGCTCGGAGCCATGTTCTATTCACTGTGAAGAAAACCGTCGCTCAGAGAGGGATTCCATCTAAGCCTCACTCAAAAGACGTCATCACAGCCAGGCTCTGCTCGAGAGCGAGACTTTGTTTAAAGTTTTGGCTCCCACGTTCTCTCCTTTGTTAAATTACCAGTATCTCTCTGTCTCATGACTTCTGCTCTTATCTCGTTCCTGTCGAACCGACATTCATTTTTTTTAATGCTTCCTGAGCTCAGCGTTGCTACAGTATCTAAAGGACTCTTCCATCTTTCACGTTTGTCTAGCACTAATCCAGTTCTCATAAATTACAGAAAAAAGTTACTGGTAGTAAAAGGCCGGAGTTTCTCAACAGGGGGTCCACAACCCCTAGGAAGACCATAAACTCAACACAGGTTGTCATGAATTTTTTATGTGTAAGAATATGTGTAAGAAAAAACACAAATCTCTCCATTTAAATAGTTCATTAATTTCGTTTTGTATAAAATTATTATTATGTATTAAGCATATATATATTCTGATAACAATATTGCCTAACTTGCTGGTTTTATAATACACTGAAAAAGAACAGGAGTTATTTTTAAGCTATTGTTTTTTTCTTTAGAACTAAATTTGAGTTCCATTTTAAAAATTATTAAATTTTTTAAAAATATTTTCCTTTCCATAAACTCAACACAGGTTGTCATGAAAATGTTTTTTGTGTGTGCAGGTATGTTAAGAAAAAACACAAATCTCTCTATTTAAATAAAAAAAATATATTATTATGTATTAAGCATATATATTCTGATAATAATATTGCCTAACTTGCTGGTTTTAAAATACATTGAAAAGACCAGGAGTTTTATTTAATGTTTTTTTATATTTATATATTTTCTTTAGAAGTAAATTTGAGTTCCATTTTAAAAATTACAATATTTTCCTTCAGTCATTTCAGATAAACCTCATTCAGCAGCTTTCATCCTTTAAGTATATTTATAGCAGTTTTATTTGGTGTAATCTTTGTTGTGTTTTATATAGAGCTGTATTTTTATATCGTTTTTTTTGACATAGTCAGTGAAGAATTATGAATATGACCTACTTCAGGCAGATGTGATGCTGCTGGTCTTAAAAGTAGTAAATTATAGGAGATAATCAACCCAAATGAAGTGTGTTGCACACTCGGCAGCTGCAGTAACAGTTCTTTATTCTTGCTAAGATGCTACGCTAAATTTTTAAGCAACGCTCACTGAAAAGAGATGCTGCAGTGAAATCAAACGCTCTCTTCATCTCTCGACAATTACTGCTCCTCACAGACATTAAACTTAGGTCACTTAAATAGCTGCAGCCTCTGGAAGTTGAGTCTGTTTTATGTAACAGAAATAAAAGTCAGAGGCTTGTGTGAAAAGTCTTTGAAGTGGGAAGAAATCCCAAAACTCCAATTGAAATATCCCTTTCCCCTGTAAGGCAGCCGAGAGGTAGAAGAGAGAGAGAGAAAAAAAGAAAAACCGGATGATTTCTCTGCTGCCAGATCTTTCTTCTACTGCATTTTACATCAGCCGTACTTCTTTGTTAAAGCCCTTCACCTTTTTACTGTCGCTGCTCTTTCTTTTTCTTTAATCTTCTGAGAGAGGCTCACAACAGAGGTAGGAAGACGCTGCACAGGAAAAAGAGGAACAATGTTAAGTTAAATCAGACAGATGTAATGGTCTGACCCAATTTAAATAAAAACACACTGTGTGTAATCAGTGCAGATTGTTTCCCATCCACTTACCGGAGACGAAGGAGCTCAGGTACAGTGATTTCCTGTCAGCTCTGCAGAGGAAAGCACAATTTAGACAATGTTTCTGTAAAATAAATATATCTATTGGGATCAGACAGTGAAGAGTGGCTGTTGCTGTTGATTTTTAACCAAAAGGCTGTTGTTCTGGTCTGATTCCCAGTTTTATGAATTTGTATTCAGTATTTCTGGTTTTCCTGGGTATTCTGGTTTTCTCCCAACACATACCTGGTTAACTGTTCACCGCTAAATTAACCAACCACATCCACAAAACATAAATCAGCCTAGACTCTGGCTGAACTCTTCCGGCCGGAGCTCAACTGACACAGACCCAACCAACAAGCAGCAAATCCAACATCAATCACATTTATGTACACATTAAAGAAGTGACTCTCTCCAGGATCTAGAACTGAACCTGTTAAAGAAACAAAAAAGTACAGTTTTGTTCTGGGATGTTAAGCTGCTCCAGTCAAGGTCCAACTCTGATGCAGGGTTAAATGACAAAAATACAGAGTTTTTATTCTGTCCCTGCCTTGATGAGCTTGGTCCAGGAGACCATTTCAAATCTGTGTTATATTCATTGGTGTTTATTTGGGTTAAATGCATCTTTATGCTAAGCTACAGTTTGAACCAAACTTGGCGGTCTAGTTTGGAATAAGAGAAGGCCAAAATTGGGTTTATGAGTATGCTAACAAAGTTAGCTTTTCTGGCTTCTTTGAAATCCGGCAGCCGAAGAGTCAGACCTTCAGAAACTGGGTTTAGTGCTATTCCAGTCAGGCTGTTTTATAAAAACCTGGTCATAGTCAGACTATAAAATCATTTTATTGACCCCATGATAGGGGTATTTGTCAGGCACTGGAGGGCATAAATCAGTATAAAGACATACAAAATGATATAAAGGCAGGACATCTTTCACTATACTGAACATGATTTATACAAAGAACTGCTCTGGAAATATAACTTTGCTTCTCAAGGCTTCAAAGAAGCCTTGAAAAACAAAGTGTGTGGGCAAACATGGAGGTAATCACTCAATCCAGGCATGAAAACAGCTTTATAGTCAGGAAATTGTTGCTCCAGTTCATCATCATTGCCATCATCACCACCACCGTGTCTCTGTAGCCTGACGAGAGCCCACACACTGGCTGCCCTGCTCACACAGATTGGGGGCAGAATGTGTCACCGCAGGGGAGCCAGACTAAGTCAAGGACCAATGGTTTTAACAGACACGGTCGGAGGAAGGGGCGGCGGTGTTAGAAGAGAAAGAGGGAGGAAAAGCCTTCGAGATCTTCGAGTGTGCACTGTCTAATTTGAGAAAACACATGTTTGTGCTAATAAAAGGGAAATTATACAATAAGTCTTTGAAAGGATCAAGGGGATTAGCGGCTAACAGAGAATATCTCAGTCAGTTTAAGTGTTTTATTGGTGTTTAGAGAGAGGGCGAGCGTCACAGGAAGCCAGTGAAGACCACTGTGCAGCAGCACGCCGTCACTTGTGCGAGAAAGAGAGTTGAAACGTTTGCTCGGCGAAGGGTGATAAAAATCTGCCTGACTGGCCCTTTAATTAGACACAGGCCTATTATCATGTCAATTGACTGCAGTCGTTAGCCGGGGGAAAAGCCGGGGATGTGGTGGGATCATCACTTTTGGAATTAACTGCTCTCTCCACTGTGCAAATCACAAAAACGGATGCTTGTGTTTATGTGGAGAATCTTTAAAAAAAATGAAATCAGGAAAGATTTATTACAAGAAGATATTTTGAGCCTAACCTTTAGCCATCGACGCTACCCAATGAGTGACGAACATTTTGATTAAACATGTTGTGCAAGGTCAAATAATGAATTCACTAGTTGAAATGTGTTATATTTTTCTATCCTGCCACCACTAATTGCCAACAATGATTAAATACCATTAATCAGACCTGTCAGACTTCTACACTGGAGACTGGTTTGTTAAATACCCCAGGGCTAACGCTTCCTTTGGAGGCGCTATGAAATATGAACAATTGTCAAGCTTTTTTTGGGTGCTTTTAATGTCTGTAGTTGTTTTGGTAATGCAACTACACATACACTTAGAGTTTTGCATTTTGGCTACTAAAAATGCTAATTGTCAATGTGGTTTACTTCTCATAGAGAAGTCATCAAAAATATATTTTAAAAAAAATGCAAATGATAGATAAAGATATAAAGATTTGACAGGCAAGCTAAACTAAATCACAAAGTATGACCTTGACGATGGCAAGCCCCAGAACCTGTGTACAGATTATTATTTTCAGGTTATGAAATTTGTAAAAAGGAGTAAAAAAAATGTGTTCAGTTATGGATGGACTACAGAAAGCAAAAAATAATTAAAAATATTACAGAAAGGTGTTTTCAGCACCTGCATAAATACTCATAAAAAAAATGTGCACGTGTCGTTAATGTAATCAGAGGAGAATGGATGTGACGCGAGCTGTCTGCTGCTGATCAAGAGCTGACACAACACAGTTTTGATTCACTACCTCTGGGAGCCGCCGGCCCCACCTGGGGTCCCTCTGAGTGCTTTAACCATAGCCTGTAATGTGTGCTGATAGTCATGGCCCAGCCCCCCCACCACTTCTCCCTCCGTCCTTGCCTCCTTCCTTCCCTCCCTCTGTGTCCTCAACAAGACACTGATGTGTCTGAGGCGAGGTGTGCCACAGTGATTCATTAGTTCATTAAGGGCGTCCTGTGGCCATGGTAACAATCTTTTCAGAGGGGGTCAACGGTAACGTGACAGCTCCCTTCAGGGCAAACCCCCGACACCGGATCTGAGTGAGAGGAGGGGGAACGGTCGTTGGTCCTGCCCCCCCCCCAAAAAAAACACGACCAGAGGTACAAACATAACCTACTTATGTCCTCTGTCTCACAAAAACACAAACACACACCTCAGGAAGACACCGCGCTTTAACAGCATAACCTGATCACAGATTCTAGGTAGTGGGTCTAATGATGGCTCATGCCTCCGGGGTTGACCCAGGCAGAGACAAAGGTACATGGGTTTATATACATACACATATACTGTACATGTTTTTGCTCAAGTAAAAACTAACATTGAAACGACAAAATGAATTTTTTTCTTTGCTTTCGAATTACTGACTTATTTTATATATAATTTTCTTCATCTCTTTATATGGGTACAAACTGCGCACTGGCTCCGAGAGCGAGTGAAATGTGAGGCCAACATATGGTTTCAATAGGCCTTAAACCACTTATGGGCAAATTTGTGCTGAGTGGATTGTTCTTTTCAGTCCAAGTTTCAAAACACAGTTATAATGGATCCAGGATAAATACAATATATTTATATATTATACATAGTATGTATATATATATATATATATATATACACATACACTGTATATACACATACTGTATGTATGTACAGTCTATATATATATATATTTGTAGGTATTTCACTTGTGTAGATTCGATAAGTACAAAAAGCAGGAAGAACCACTGCATTAAACTACGCATTATTTGCATTATCTTGTGTTAAAGTACATATCCAAAGTCAAAGGGTGACTCTGCAGAGAGGACCTGATGCTGAGGAAGCACAACCGCACCGAGCTTCACTTCACTGACTGATTAAAGTCCCTTCAGTGAAGTCAGCAGAGCTACAGAGAGGCAGCTCTGCTCTCCTTTTCACTCTTTTCTAGACGTAACCATTTCCTCTGACTGCCTTCTTTTACACGCCGACACTCAAGCTCCAATTCGATGCAATACATGGCATGAAAGAAATGTGCAGAGAGGAAATGAAAAGGGAAATTTTATCACCAAGGGAAATGCAAAAGTCTGCTACAGATGTGTCATTACTGAGACAACGATCACATGTTAATGCCCAGGAAATAAAGTGTAGCCTGGAGGCTAAGCTGAAGGCTCCACTGTGGGGGTGAGCGTGGACATGAGTGATAGAAAACACTGAGCTGTGGGAGACCTGATCCAAACCTGAAACATGATTTGTTCTACATATGTGCAGCTCCAGGGGCATATTTGGCTAAGTTGCTAAGCCACCTATGAACTAGCTTACAAAGGATGGTTGAAAAACGTTGGAAATGCTGCAATATAGTTTTTCCTTGGATAAAAACGTTTTAAAAAAGAGTTAAAAATGCCAATAATAACATGAAGCTAATTTATAAATAGCTCAACGTAGCTGAAGAACATAAGAGCTAAGGATGACCAAACTGTAAAGTTAGTACGGAGAAATAGCACTCAAATCTTGTGGAAAGTTAAGTGGATTTTATTGTTTCAAGTCAGAGTCAAGTTTACTCAATCCCTGAGGATATCAAGTCCAAGTTCAATCAATCAGAGAAGAAAAGTTTGAGTCAAAGACTGAATCGAGTTCAAGTCCAGGTCAGCGAAGAACGGCTGCAGCCAAATCAAAGTCTGGACTCAGTCTGATGATTCAAACTGAGTACAGATCAACGCCAGTCAACAAAACACTATCCAACCAGCCGTGAAAATCAGTCATGACGTTGAGTCAAAAGTCAACATCTAAAGATTTAATCTACAGTCAAAAATAATATCAGTTAATCCAGGCAAACATCCTCCTTCCTCAGTCAAATCATCGTCTCATCTCTGCTGCACCAAACCCACTTCACAACAACAAATGATGCCTCTTTCAAAACCTACGTCCTGGAGATTTAGACACGTTCTCATCATTTCAGGAAGAAAAAAAAAAATCAAAATTAAAGAGCTGGTGCATTCAGGGGCCTGGTCTGATAACTCCCCCATTCCTCCCTCCCTCTCTCTCTCTCTCTCTCTTTATCCTTTCCCCCCCGGCCTTCCCCTCACCTGCCACGTTCTGACCTGCACCTCTTTCAGCTGTTTACTGCGGGAAATAGGAGCTCAAGTGCTCGTTTCACGGCCTGAAAACCTGCTCCATGAATTTATATTTACAAAACGGAAGCAACGTCTTCAGACGACCAGGTGTCGCGCCTTTAAACACCTCACACACACACACACACACACACACACAGTGGCAGGATACAGTTTCTTCTCTGTGTGTTATTGTTACACATGGTCAAGACCGGGCCTCTTGAATTTGACCCCCTGCCATTTGACTGACAGGCCCAAGTGCACTTGCTGACACCGCTGACCCGGAACCATTCAATCATCTGGTATGGGGACGTGGCCAGTTTGTGTTGTTCCCTAAAGTGTGGACATAATCAGGTGAAGATGGATTTATTCCCTGACTGGTCATGTGACCCTTTTGTACTCACGTTAAATGTATTCCTTTTATTAGTGCTGACCTGGTTGGAAATGTAATGCAGTAGAATTGCAACTGAAATTACAAGCAGTGTCCACTCGTGTGCTCCATCTCCTACTGTGCTTTATCAGCTTTTTCACTCTAAATAAGAATATAACTTCCAACAGTGATCATGTCGTACTGTAGAACAGTGTTTCCCAAACTTTTTACTATGGATCCACCTGAGGGTCGCGACCCAGCCTTTGGGAAACAATGCTGTAAAGACCTGACAAGGAATTTTGGGACTATAATGTGAATGTGATCCCTAAAGGCTCTGAATTCTACGGGTAATTTTCTACTCTCAGAAGTTAAACTTCTTGATGATGTTTTTCCACAAAATACAAAAAGTCTTCTTCAGCTCTCACAGACTGATTGGACAAACCAGGGGTCTAGTCTACGTAGGACTGTGCCACTGGTTTGAATTAAGTTATTTAGCGAAGTATGAGAGGTAGAACATCTTTACGATTCCCACAAGAACATCCATGTAAAAATAAATCTAAAATAATCTAAAATAGTGCCTTTGGTGGCCCATATCTGGCACCTTGGTATTCAGATTGTGGGTCACATTTGTAGGACAAACCATAATTAGCTTAGACCTGTTCAAAACCTTGTTTAATAATTACTATACTGTGCTTTGAATAGTTTTTCTCCAGCTAACGATGTTTTCCCAGGTCTCACTGTATTCTCTGAAGCCGCAGTGGCCTTGTGTTTGCAGTATTTGAATTGGTTTTTATAGAGCGAGGCGTCTCACAGCTGCCTGCTGCAGGATCGTGCCGTTTTATTGGACTTTGTTTGGTGTTTTATGATGGTGAGCAAACGCTTTAGCTGCAGTGAGTAACTCTGCTTTTTATATAATTCTGTCTCTCTCTTTTTTTACGCTCTTCTGAAATTTTGAGTTGTTATTGTAGACGTATAGAGTTACAGGAATCTTAAAAAAAAACTTTGGTGCAGGGCTCAGAGAAAAGTTGTCTCAGCGTGTAATTTATGGTTTTGCTGAATCATCCAGTTGTCGTGAAGTAAAACACAGGAGCCCACAGCTGCTCTGACAGACATGACAACAATGATGACAACTTACTGAGATGAAGTCACAGGCTAAACATGTTACGATAGGTAAATGATCTTTGTCATTAGTGCTTGATTTATTTATGCATTGTGTCTGTATGGACATAAATGCATGTAGCACACATTTAAGAATAAATAACATTAAATAATGCAATAACTACATAATTTAAATAAAGACAATTTAAAGTCATTTTTGGACTATTTAGAGCTTCTGACCCTCATGGTTCATTTTATCAGGAACACCAAAAAACAAACAAACAAACAAAAAAAAAAAAAAAAACACAAAAAAACCCCAGTGATTTACAAACTCTCATAGAGACGATCTGGTGACGTTGTGCGTCCACTCCGTCAGGTTGTCTCTGGCCTGTTGTTGTCCCTCGTGCTAATGCTTTGACTTATGGCTCTCTGCTCGTCCTGGTAATAAAGGACTGCTGCTGATCTGAGTGACCACAGCTTTTCATTTGTGACCGGTCTGACCCGTTCTCCTCTGACCTCCTGGACCATTAGACCTCAACATTTGTTTTACTGCCTTTATTCCTCGCTCGCCAGACCTCTTTTGTCTGCCGTTACAATAACATCACAAATGTAAATGTTCTGCCCCTGAAAAATATGATTAAAACAAAACTTTTAATCACATTCTCCTCAAATATCTATATTAAATTAACTCTACGTTGCTACAACCTTTATGTGCTGCTCTCTTTTATATATAATATATATAATAGTTTGGACTATCTCAGCTGGCTATTTCAAAGCTAACTTTAATCTGTTCATGGGCTGAGCTTCAGTTACATGTAGCCCTACAGCTAGTTAGCATTTTTGGCTAACTAGCTGTAGCCAGTTCTGACCATTCTAAAGCTAAATACTCTCTTCTTGGCTAACTTTAGCTGCTCTTTGGGCTGTTACATGTGCTCGTCATCTACCCTTAACTTGTAGTTACCTTTAGCTGTGACTTAATCTGGAAGGATTTGATAATTATTGCAAATTTCATCGGCTCAGTGTGGGAGCAGCCGGATGATTTAAAAGGGAAATGGTAACCAGGGGAAACGGGACCAGTGCAGTGACCAGTGGTGGACAACAACAGGAGGAACAATGACAGCAGATGCACAGGAAGGTTTTTAAAGATCTCTTAGTGTTTTGGGGTGTTGAAAAAAACAGAAAAAAACCCAGATGGAAACAAAGACAATAAACTGAATGTTGAGAAGAAAAGCTGTGATATATTTAAACCTGTCAATAGTTCTTTTTGTTCACGAGAATTACAGCTCTGTTTTCTTTTAAGGGGATTTTCTGAATTGGCTTTGTCAGCAAGTTTTGTAATTTGATTCAGGTTTTAAGCAAATCCTACTCTAAAGACTCAGACACCTTCATGATTTTTAACCAATAAGAACGTCCCCATAACACACACAGATGTATATTACTTTACTACTACTACTACTAATAATAATAAAAACATTCAGCCACACAATCAAGTTGCTCCTCTCACCTGGTGTCTCCTTCTCTGCTGCTCCACCTGCCAACCATCAGTCATTAGTTGGTGTGAGCCTGATCTCCTTTCACAGTAATGTCACCTGCACTCATGGTTCAGACCAGGGCTGACCACACTTTGTTGCCTTGGAAGCTACTTTTCAACTGATCAGAGCAAAGTGATCCACTTACATTGATAATATTTAATATATATTCAGCCATATGAGCTGAAGTCTGGAGTAGATTTGGAGTAAAAAGTGTTTAAATATGTAAAAAAAATCTAACGTCAACATTTCTGAAAGGATTCTGATTTTTTAAATTATTTTTATATATATTATTCTTAATATTGCTTATATGAGTTTATAAGTGAATATAAATAATGTTTTTGTGGTGGATAAATGCACCAGACGAACTGAAAGTAATTAATTTCAGTGATGAAGTAACGGACCTGCTCCACAAAGTGTCACGGTTTCCTCCTGTGTTTCTCAATGAATCCACACTCATTATGTTCAGTGAATGTGCAGCACCTGACCTGCTGACTGTGAACAGCAGGAGGCGCTCATTTTGTGGGTTACAGGCTGCTTTCATTCATTCACACCTAGCATTGTGGTTCAATTACTTTTTTTTTTTTTTTTTTGGCTCAGACTAAATTGTCCATCTGGTTTACAGGAGCACACAGAGTGGGAGTGGGAGTGGACCCACTGACCCACTTCATTGTTCATCTTGCCCCCCCCCACCCCAGGCCTGAATACTCCTTCAATATGTGGGTCAAGGACACTGTAGGCTGTGGTTGTGACTATAAATTATCTTTACATGGGTTCATGAAGATATAACAGAATTTTGAGTTATTTCCTAACTGAAGAAATGTACTTGTCTCAAAGCCAGGGAGTTTAGGGGGTTGAGGCATACACCATTGCCACATGGTGGCGTCACACTCCGCCTTAACCTGGATTTAGTGCTAAAAACTTGACAGATGGATATCACCGGTAGTAAACAAACATTTGAGAATATATCTGCAGTGGACTAAAAAAAAAAAACAATAACTCTTCATGACCCTATTTTGGGTCACGACCCACCATTTGAGGATGACTAACCTTCACTTTGCCACACTGCAGGAATAATTTAAAGCACCAAACCACAACTGGCAGCAGAGAGGCTTTTCCAAAATTCTGTTTGGTGTTCCACAAGAAGATAAAAGATGAAAAAACTGTGAGGGCGGACGATGAGCCAGTCGTCTTCTGACTGTCTGGCTCCTGTGAACCCAGCAGTTCAAACACCTCAGGCAGCCAGAATACATGTATTCAGCTCCACTGAGTGTGTGTGTGTGTGTGTGTGTGTGTAGTAGTGGTACAGTTTTACTCCCTCAAAGCTGTGTTAAAATAAAGATGAATTCTCTTTTTTCTTTCACACTCTGAAGACCATGAAAATCTCTCATTCTCACATTCTCTCCCAGATTTTCTGGTTCTTTCAGCTGCCACTTCACTTTGGTAGGCTGTAATCAGGGTTCCTCTTCTTATTAAATATGCATATTAATTCCGACTGCGTGTTCATAATTCACATGGCTGCTGTCGCTGGAGTTAATCTTCTAATGAGGAGAGGAGAAAGATCTGGATCTCAAAGATTTAAGGGCCGGAGTCTGTTATTATTCTTTATCATCGTCATTCCAGAAATGTGTTTTTGGGTTAGAGACTTAATGAAATGTGTAATGTATGTATGTTAATCTCCTTTATGGACAAAGAACTGGTCAATGGTATATCTTTTTTTTTTTTTTAGACACATTTGTAAATAACCAACCAGTCGATCACACGACGACACCTCAGTGCATTAAAGGATGTACAGGGAATGAGTCAGTGTTGATGAGCCAGAGTCAAAGTCCTGGAACATGTCGGCACCTGCGTGACAACAATTTGAAAGTATGTTTCCCATAAGATTTAATCATGTGTTTGAGATGCACACACTGAGATACACAATAAAAGTTCAACCCTGACTAATCCTGAGCCTGTGCTGGGAAATGAAAGATTTTTTCTGTTGATACATGTTCCATACAGCGAGAGCAACATCAGATTTACAAAAAAAAAAAAAAGTTCTTCGTTGAGTGCAAAAAGAAATTCTTCTGAATGTTTTTTATAGGGGGCCAACCTATGTGTTGTGGGGTGATTAATCTCACCTGAGGCCACAAATTGCCCTGCTCAAGGGTCAAATATGGAGACAAACAATTCACACTCATATTCACACCTAATCCCCCCCCCAGACTTGTCACTGTCTGATTGGCTCAGCCAGAAGCAGCAGGTGTGTTTTCTCCACTCGTCATCAGTGATTTACTGTCGACTGTCTGTCTGATTTGACACCTTAAATACTGAAACACTCTCGAAAGACTTTTATTTGAAGTTCCCAAAAACTCTGACGTACATGAATCGGAAACAGTCTCCTCCGCTCCATCTTCTTCCTCCTCCTCCTCCGTCACAAACTCCTCCCTTTCCTGGCCTCTCCTTTAATCACTCTGTACCAGATGGAAACTCATCAGTGCTGCCCTCCTTTTCATATAAACTCTCTTTGAGGAAAACGGACTTAGTCAGCCAGAAACAACCCACCCCCACGTCAGCCCCACTGCACTCCCACTCCCCCTCTACTCCTCACCCTTCCTGCTGCTCCCAGACTTGTTCCCAGGCCGGCATGGGAGAGAAGGTGAGCACAGATAAGAGGTCTTTATCTGGGTCTCTGAGGGAGGCGGGGTTAAGTTTAAGGTGAAGCCTTGTCAAGAACCCCTCCTCCTCCTCCTCCCCCACCCCCCCGACACACACACACAGTCTGGTCACTCTGACTGCTCCCTTCCCCAACCTCCTGATGTGAGATTCAGGCCCGTACCCCAGTCATCATGTCCTTGGGCTCAGTCTTGACGGCCCCCACTGCTGCGGCTTTAATGAGGGAGATGAAAGAGGAGCAGACCGGGAGAATCCCCTCCTCTTCTCCTTCAAACACATCGCTCACTTTACTCCTCCTCGTCCCGCGTGTTCAGATCAGCCTCACTTTTTCTCAATTTTTAAATAAAATTCCTGTCAGGCCCTCCAGCCCTAACTTTTGTTCTGCTGCAATAAATTGGATGTGACGCTGGTTTCCATGGTAAATTTTTAAAGTATCATTCCTTCTGATCGGAGTCCTTTGTATTTCACTCTCTCTTCCAGTACTCTGTACTGCAGTAGCTGTACTGCAAATCACAGTATACCGTTTGCATGTAGACCACCGGATAAGATATGATAGGATAACTCTGGTGTCAAAATTGTGTTTCCATTCCAGCAGGGGGCGCTAAGCATTTGCAACAAAGACAAGTGATACATATAGCATTCAAGGCTGGTAATTTCGAACCAGATATGAGAAGTAAAACGTCAGTGATCTCGGGCAAAAAGTAGGGTCAACTATAACGAGTTGAGTAGAGCTGAAACCTACCAAGTCCAGAATTGAACCCACAACCCCTGTGGGTGTAAGACAACTGCACAAACTAATTTTAAGCTTTTCTATTAGAGATTAAATTCTTATTACAGCCACTCTCCTCGGAGGTTTGGCTAAATTAAGCCTATCCTGCCAAGAGCTAATCCCTTCAATCAAGAGAGAAAATAGAAAATTACAAACCATCCAAGGTGACCATACGTACAGGCCGGGTTAAAAAAACAACAAAATACAACCACTGTGAACCATTCACTGACTGACTGAAATTAATGACGTGAACAATAATAACTATAAGTCAGCTCCTCCTCACCACTCAGATTCCTGCAGCAGCAGCAGCAGGAGCGGCAGCAGATGGCGGTGTAATCACCCTCATGAGATCCATGATCCGTGTGGAAAAAAAAAACAAAAACGAGTCCCAGACTCGTCATTAAACAACAGCGGCGTAAAATGAAAATTGAAAGTTGAGGTTTAGCCGGAAATAAACAAAAGATCTGTCACTTTGACTTTGGCTACGGGAACTCAGTGCTTTCACCTGCCGGTCATTTTAATGTACTGCAGGCATCGAACGAACTGCCGCTGCAGCAGAAATATGAATTGGTTTCACATTTAAAATTAACGTGTCAATAATATATTACTTTTGGATTTTTTTCAAAATACTTTTGCTAATATTTTTCTTTTTTTCAGAGACATTTTTTCTTCCCAAAGCCAGCTGAACAAAGCAATCGATATATATCTTAAAAAAAATGATGATGGGAGTTTTCTTTATTCATGGTGTCAAGTGAGGCTACGCAGCAGCTGCTGGGGCAGAAAAAATGTCGATTTTTCCTGAATAAATAAGTTTGCTGATCAGCAAATGAGATCTCGTGTTGTACAGACCTGAAGAAATCAGAATAAAAGTATAACAGTTACTTCAGCTGCTCTCAGTGGTGCACAGATGTCTAGAGATTCTCCTCCTAACAGCATTCGTAAACTCTCAGGGTAAAGTCTGCAGCAGCAGAAACTCTGGAACCAAGTTTTCTGTTGTGCTGAATAAATATTTATAGTAACCTCTAAAAACTGCAGAAACATATATCTCAGCATTTTACTTCTTGTCTTGAGTTCTTGTCTGTAAACGACACCAGTAACCCTTACCAACCGTTTTCTTTCTCTTTTTTTTGTTAATACCAGTGAGACAGTTTAAGCACATCATTTGAAATCGTTTGGACTTTGGTAAAAACAGCATTGAGTGTTAAAAAGTGTCACATGTTTGACACTGATGAAAAGCTCACATTAGAGCCTCAGACAAACAGCTGGCTCCACCATTATAAAGTCTTGGACTTGTCCTGGTTGTTGGTGTATTTTTGGTAAACCACTCCCAGCGTGGTGAAGAAGTTCCCCAGGAAGAGCACCAGGTACGAGCAGCCGCACATCAGCACCTGACGCCGCAGAATAAAAGAGTTAAAATACACGCACTATATGTGTTTTAACAAACATGAAAACTCAGAGTAAAAGCCTCAGACGTCAGTTATATTTGTCAGAACGTTATATTAAATTAAAGAATGTTGGCTACGCTACATGGAAGTATGAAAGTCAATTTTATACATACGCTTTTACTGTGAACCTAAAGTCAAACGATAGTAAACTGTTTAATGAGGGTGGACCACAGGGTTTGGTCATCTCTGTTTCACCGTTACATCTTCTCTATTCTGCAGATGCTATAGTTGGAGCAAATGATACAGTGAACGGAGGGTAACACACACCTGCCACTCTTTGCACTCTGGCAGCTGGAACATCTTGAAGAGTGTTATACTGTTGTACAGCTGCCAGGACTGTAACACAAATATCACATCTGGTCATTTTCTTCAAACTGCACTCAAAGCATCTATACTTCCTCGTGTGCATCGACTGTTGTGTCTGGAATTTCTTGTTGAAATATGACTCACGTGACCAAAGAACAGGAAAGGAAGCAGGAAGGTCAGCCCTCTCCACATCCAAGACTGGAAACCCTCTGAACAGCAGGAAGAGGAGGAGGAGGAGGAGACAGTGAGCTGCTGCTTTTATCATCACATAGTATCTTTGACCTGACCACTATCTGTCATGATAGTGGACAGGAAGGGATCACGGCCCACATGTTCCATCTCACATCCCACTTCATCAAAAGCAGCCCTCAGACAGCTTTAGGAAATTTAATTTCAATGCTACATATGCTTTAACAATTTCCTTGTCCGCGTAATCGCTCCACCATGAATACCCATGATTCGACTCTGGCTAGAATCTAACATTTGGGAGCCCTCTGGTGGCCATTTAATGTAACGACAATTTTCATGATTCCATTTTTATTTTCTTTTTACATTTTCTTTAGCAGGAAACACACAAACCCACAGCGATTTGAGGAAAACTCACCTACTGTCAGGTCCATGTTGTGTCTTTCTCCCAGTGCTCTAAGTCTGTACAAACAGCCACTCTGGTAGTAATACTGCAGAAACTGGACAAAGCCTACTTTGCAGAACAAAAAACAAACAAACAATATTTTGCATAAATATAAAGCATAAATATAGTATATATTTTATTGTACTGTGTTGCAGTATTATTTTCTTTGTCTTTATACTAATTTTTCATGATCCGTTTTACTACCATGCCCCTACGGCGCCACCTGTTGTTATAGTGCATTTGAATGTGTTTAAAAAAATCTTGAAAAAATTGCTTCCTGTCTTCCTGCAGACTGAATGGTTTTAATTGAGTTTTTACAACGTTCTTCCAAATTAATTGAATCAAATTGACTTTTTTTATCTGTAGGGGGGAGCTACAACCCTAAACTGCTAATTAAGGCTTTTTTAAGACAAACCAGTGTTTTTTATGTTTCCTTGTCTCATGGAAAGAAGATGATAAAGCAGTAAATATTTTGCAATATTTAAAAAAAAAACATTTTAAAGCACTTAAAAGATTTAAAGTCCAACTAACTTACTTTGGTAAAGACAGTATGTTAAGAACTGGTTTCTAAACATCTGGTATAGGGAACCTTCAGGCCTGTGGACAAAGTCAACATGTGGTAAAAATGAAGCATGTCCGAAATAAAGAAGAAGAATTTTACAATAAATAAATGCAGCATTTCCTTGTAGCTTCATATTTTCTAATACTACTCACCAAGTGAGCATGACGCCAGAGAGGAAGGTCGACACGTAGTGATGGAAAACCCACCAACCTCTAATCCTGCAACAACAGACTGAGCAGTTAGTAGGGGAAAAAACTGTGTCCTAGAAAACATCTGCCTCCCGTCCATCCTGTCCCTTCAAAATTCAGAGTTTAAGTTGAAAAAGTGCAGAAAGTGACTGTGTCTCAGACCTTGAGCCATTGCTGATGAGGATGCTCTCCCTGATGGTGAGAGTGCAGTAGTACCACACCAACAGGAAGTTGAAGAGGGCATCCAGCACCCTACAAAATAAAAGCACAACCAAATATCACATAGTGTGTATGTCAATAACAACCACCCCGCCCACCGTGATGTTTGACAACGGACACAGATCAGAGGCCATGTCACCTGTAGCTGAGCAGAAATCGACAGGTGAAGGAGAAGAGGAAGATGATGACGGTGAGGACCAGCTTGAACTTCTCATATTCATCTTTGTAGGCAAATCTGTGTCGCAGTGCAGAGGGAGAACACTTCAGGGTGATACAAATATACCACTGCAGTCTGGACTTTTACTCATGATGAACCAGTGGGACTCACTTTGACTGTTTGTTGAGCAGAGTTACATTGACGTTTCCTAGAACCAGATTGAGATACAACCTGAAGACAAAGAAGAGTCCGTCTGTCTCTGGGCTACTGTCGCACAGGTTATAAAACAATGTTTCCCACCCTGTGTTGGCCCATGTCACATATTTCACATTTGAAAAATCCCTGGCGCAACATCAAGACAAAAATGTTAAAAACGTATATGAGATGATATATATAATGATCTTCTAGTTTCAAATTACCCACAATGTATCATCCCAGCCTGAGCCTCTTTAGTTGAACTCAACCCTCATATACAGAAAGACGAATAAAATTCTCCTGAAACAGCTTCCAGTCTTTTTTTAGTTTTTATAGCCATCTGCTGCCACCTCGTGGAAATGTATTGAATGGTTATGCCACAGTACACTTGATGTATAATGTCTCATGGCACTTCCTGGCTCAGTGGTTGGAAATCACTGTTATAAAACACAAAAAGACTTTTACCCGTTCTTTTTTGGCAGAAAAGCTTCCATCTCAGAGAAAGCGTACGCTCTCTCTTGGATGGCATCTTTGATTTCAGCGATTGAGTTGACATCCTCTGGATTTAACCTGAACTCTGGACTGTGTTGTTTACATCTGAGGAATAAAAAAAAGGGGAATCGTGTGATATTTGTTAATCATATGAAAATGTCAATATTTATTAAAAATGTGTAAAAACAGTGACATTGCAACAAACACTGCTGTTTTTATTCATTCTACACAGTCTACAGTCTGGGGACAATCTGAAATATTTTGAGGCAATTTTACAAATTAAATCTTTTTTTTTTTAAATGTTTGATCTTTTTTTTGACCAATTGTTCTAACTTCTTCTTATTAAGCATACATTTGGCTGATTTTCAGACTAGGATTTTCTTGGAAACAGATGAATTTAGCTATGACTTTTCAATCAGATAATTTACTGTCAACTGCTGGTAACATATTTCAGATACTGAAATATTCCCCACATCAATACTTACTCTTCTAATGAGGCTGAAAGCTCTTTGAGTTGTTTCCTTTGACGTGTGATGGCACCTGAGCAGTTGTTTTGCAGCTTAGTCACTTCTTCAAGTTTTTGCTTATACAGACGATGAGTATCCTGGAAGAAAATAGTCAGAAAAATGCCATTTTGCCAATAAGGCCACGACTGAAAATGGTTTAAGAAATTTCCGGGGAAACATGACTGAAATTATGTAAATCACGAAACCTATTCATTGGAAAAATAAACAACACAGTTCAATGTATTTGATCACAGCTCACAGGAAAGTTCGGGAAACAATTTGTTTATGTGAACGTCACTGTAGGAAAAAAATACCATTAATTGGAAACAATTTGTTTATGTGAACGTCACATACAAAAATGTATAACTTACAATTGCCAGTCTTTAAAAACATATACCTCGGCGTTAATGACAGCTGGCATTGTAAACGTAACAAGTAAATGTACTGTATATTAGCAACCCGTTTCGTGGCCTATCATGTGTCTATATAGTTAAGTTGACTTTTATGGTGACTAAGTCAACGGTGGTTAAAAACAAGTAACCCTACACAAAATAGCAAATACCTCATATTTTCAGCTATGTCCTAGTTTAAGGTTAGCCTTTGTCACATTACTCGTGTCAGACACAGTGTATTTATCTTTAGCAGCAGAGGGCGGTTCCCGCTCCCCGCCTGAGGAACAACCAACCCCGGGTGTTAGAGCTTAACCGGACTGGGAGGAAAATAACTACTAAAAGTTATATTTTAGCAAAACTTACCTGAATTTGTTGATAGCCCTTCTCTAAATCCTCCCATTCTCGTAAACATTCACTCAAACCCGTGGGGCTAAACAGCATTTTCCGCGACTGACAGGAGCTAAATGATGACGATAACGATGATGTTCAAGCTCCTGTGCAACAGTTGTGTCGTAAAACAACATCAAAGCGGAAGTTATGCACAAGGTCATTTCCTTTAGGGGCCTTCACATTAAATGTATCTTTTGCGCTTTCACTTCAATACTAATACTTAATATGTTTGTAACGGAAATATATTGATCAAAAATTACCACAACTAATTATAAATGTATTTGTTACATGCAAATAATGTCTATAATAAAAGAACAGCCAGCCAAAATGGATTAAAACGGACTTTAAAAAATAATATATTGAATTTAATCATATTCTAACTGCCTTAGTCTGAAATGCTTTAGTTTTTAAACAATACTGTATGTACGAGAATAGTAATAACTTTATTTGTCTCGTAACAAGGGTATTTGCAAATGCCCTCTAACGCTTGGAAACCGATTGTGCAATTCGTTGTGTAACTGAGTTTAAAAAAAAAAAAAATTCACAGAGCCTACAGCAACTTCTGGACGTGTCAGTAGTTCACTTTACAGAACGACGTGATCCTACTTGTCAAAAATGCTCATTGGTAACTGCATGGTCCAATCAGATTGCTATAGCTTTATTCCGTGCTACCCTGAGTTTAGCCTTTCAGGCATTTGCTTAAACATCTGACGATTTTTATCATTACATAACAAAGCTGGCTCTATTTTTGTCCATGATCTCTGCCATCTCTTACGCTCACAACCTTTGTGTTTGGTTTATATATATATATATTTTAGGTAAGAATATTTTTACTCCTGTAAATGAAAACCCGGGGTCGCAGTGGCTCACTGGTTGGCATGTCGCCCAAATTTTTGTGCAGCTCCACAGACAGGAAATCTGTCTTCTGTAACATTAAAGCAGCACGTTTGACAAACCTGTGCAAAGTCCCCCATTTTTATACATTCCGTATTTTTAAATTTTCAAAAAAAAAAAAAAAAAGTTTCTCTAAATTTAAATTTATATAAATACTGTAGACCACAGTTATTAGCAAGTGTATAAAGTCAAACTTTCTTATTATTTCACTATCACTATCACTTGTTACTAGGAAATGTTTTAAGTTTAAATGATCCATAGTGGTTCAACAAATGTTGAAAATGATGTGTCAGTAAGTTTTAAGTTTTACTTAAAAACAAACATTAAAAAAAGCAGTTGCCCTGACAACAATCCTACATGTGCCTCAAATATTTCACAACGGCAGAATTCCCCCTGAAAAAATTTCCTTCCACGAGTCAGACTCAGTCAAGTTGTGGAGGTGTGTTTGTTATGCTTGTTTTTTCCTTCACACCTTTCTCTGATCCGTTTGCTGCTATAGGACTGTGAGACAGTGAAACTTTGTGTCCTTTTGTGACTTGGAAGATTCTTGCTTCTGTCTGTCAAACTGACAATTTCCACACGGCCCCTGACCTCAAAATGTCACAGTTATATTTTCCCTTTCTCTTCGTGTCTTTTAACATCCTCTGCAGGTCACACTGATGAAAAATCAGAGACTTGTTGCTCAACAGTGCAACAGCTTGATCAAGGTACAACTTTTCATATGTGTCCTTAGTCTGGCCCGGGAACCAAATGTGGACTGTGAATGGTCTGTGAAGCCCTTTGAAATATTTTCAAGATGAATAATTTTTGGAAAATTTATATTTATTGATTCTGACTTTGTTTTTTAATTTGTTTTTTGTTTTTACAGTTTTTGACATTGACTTGTATTTATTTTGATTATGTCTCAGCTATTTTGGTTTAACTTTGATCTATTTTGTTCTATTTTCTGGCTATTATTTTAAAATTCTATTTACTCTTTTTCTAGATTTATTCTAACTTCTAGCTTTTTCTTGCAATTTTGGCTAAATTTTAGCAAATTTTTAACTATATTTATGATTAAATTTTGAACGATTGTTTTTGTTTTAACATTCATTCTTTTATTTTCTCTCTGGCCAGTTAATGTTTTTAGATTTTTCCTTAGCTATCCTTAGCTATTGCGGCCAAACATTTTGCCTTTAAACTGTTATGATTGAACTTTCGAAATTACTAATATATGTAAAATCTAAATGTTGCCATTAACGATTGAACAAAACAACTTGGAATTTGAAAATTGTGTTAAATCAGCATTTGTACCCCAAAACTATTCTTTATTGTTGTAGACATATAGCAAACATTTCTACATTACTTCAGAGTTAATTTATGAACAATAAAAGGAAAAACGAACATTTCTGACTACTCCTGTTTGCCGATGAAACCGTTGATGACTTCATTCACTACTAGTCCACCCATAACAGCCTGTAGTTCTGATAGCTGTGTGTGAACAGTCCCAACCCCATCACATTCCATATCTCGGTGTCTACCATTCTCCAGGTCTCCTTCCCATCCTTTGATCCCTGAATCCTCCTCACATCCATCCATCTCTATGTTGATGCTCCTCTCCCTTTCCTTCTCCCTCTGCATCTCCTCAGCCTCCTGGGCGATCTGCTGACTGTTCAGGTAGATGCTGCTGTGAGACACCATGGTGCTGTTGTCTCTGGACGGGAGGTGAGTGTCCATGTCAGTGTCCATGTCCAGAAATGAACCAATGTGGGGAGTAAGGGCGAACATCATCTGGTCCTGCTGATTGTCCTTCGTGTGGCGAGGCCTCCTTTTGCCTTTCTTGGCCTTCTTCAAATCCAGGGAGGCGTAATTTAAGTCTTTGTCTGAAGGCTGGTTCTAGAAAAAGAAAAAAAAAAGAAGAATGTACAGCAGCACAAATCTGGCTCAGTATTCACTCGATGGGCTTTTCATCTCAGTGGTTTTTCAGATAATTCTCAGCCGTGTTTATTTTTAGGTTATGACTGGTTACTACAAATTCGACTGACCACACGGTGTCAGTGGTGTTTGTTGTTTCCGCTGTCAAAGTCTAGTTTGAGCTGTGATACAGTGGTTTGACATATGTTTCTGTGAATAGATCTGTGGCTTGTTTCCACAGTAACAAGTACCCAAGTACATTTGATAAAATAAAAAAAAAAGAATTAATCAAAAAGAATAATTTACAAAGTGCTCCACGAGCATGTGTATAATACATGAATTATCTTTAACTGACATTTAAGTCCAAATTATTATTACAATGGAATTTTACACCGTACAAAGAAGCAAACCAAAGTTGTACTTCAGGCGGCCATTATACTAAACACTTAGTGAGAACCTGAAACCTTAAAGTTAACAAAGAATGCTAAAGCTAAAGATAGCAAAAGACTTAAAACTATAAGAACTTAAAATTACTCAAAAATAGCACACTCCAAAAATGCTATTATTGGTACTCTAAAATAGCTAGACATTAGCTAAGACATAGCAAAGGAAGCTTAGATTTTACTGAACAAAATAGACAAGATGTAGCTACAATATAGCAAATCTAAATTATAATATTTATCCTACATATACTAAATGTTTGCGAAGAAGAAGAAGAAGAAGAAGAAAAAGTTAAAAGCTAAAAAATAAATACATGACGACAACAGTAGCAACAAATTAGCCTTGAAGAATGACGTTTTTAAAAACTTAAACTTTTAAAGGTTTTTAAATTTTTTTAAATTAAATTTCTAACTTAAGAAACAACGATTACCTGTATCTGATCTCTTGTGCGTTGCATTGTCATCATCTCATAGCAGCCGTCTGTGAAGCAGGGAAAAAACAACCGTAAACATTAACTCCTAAAATTCAACACTATCCCAGTCAAAATAAATACATGAATTAAAAAATAATTTTAATGGTCAAAATAAAATTGCAAATAAATCAAAAAAGTTGTTTTTAAAATTTAAACTGCAAAACCCACTTATGTATATTTAGATGAAAAACAGCCATGCTCACCTGCACTGATGTTGCCATAAATTGGATTTTCCACTTGTTCCATTTGGAGATTTTCCCACTGCTCATGATGACTCGGGTCAGGAAAACGTTCACTTTCTCCCTGCAGAGAGCTGCGACAGAATCATTCTACACGTTATTCCTGCAGAATTTCCAAATCCTCATTCCCAATTGACAAAAATGTAACTGTGCGTTCTGAGAGTGGATGACAGCCTTACCGTGCTGAATCATTTACATGTAGATAGCAGCAGTTGTTTTTTTCTGCATGAACAGAGCACAAACTAACTGTTAAAATTATTCACAAATGTAAAAACCAACCGAAACTATAATAATTATATATAAAAACCCCATCAATATTAGCATCATGCTAATCATCTCACCTCTGCAGAGCGATGTTCTGTGTCTGATAAACAGGAAAAAGTTGAAACACACGGAGATCAACAAGGCCAGAGACAAGAGCAGTAAACCTGAGACCAAAGCCTGACACTCTGAAAACAAACAGTCAGTTTCAATCAATCAACTAAAACAAAAATTCATTCTCCAAATGCAGTTCATGACAATGGCCCATGAACAACCCTTCCTGTGCACGAAAGGATACATTAAAAATAGAAGTTGTTTCAGTGGACGTCCAAGACGATGGACTGTGATGAAAATGAACTTTTTAAAAAAATATGCTGGGCAAGATAGTTGAAATAAAATGTACAAGAATGAAACAAAAATTTCAAAGATAATTTGCCACATTTGATGTCCGTCGCCATTTAGTGGCATCAACAGAGATCACAGTTGATTCGCTGTAGTGCACAGAACAGAAAATTGACATCAGTCTTCACCGCATCTTGTACCAATGTTTGGTGGGGCGCATTAGTATCTGGACCATGGGCCACAGTTTGTCCATATCTGCTTTAGACTTTTTAGCTTATTAGCTAATATGCTTACCTTATACTTTGTTTTAAGTTAAAAATAAAGAAAGTCCAGAAAATTAAATAGAATTTAGAGAGACTATAATGTAAACTGTACAGTAAAACAGTTGTTGAATTTAAACATCTTTAATTCCCCTGAGACAAATATTTGAGTCGTAGTTTTTTCCAAAGGTTTTTCTATATGAGTTTGAAGTTATTCATTTAAACTTTGGAGCTATTTAAAATGTAAAAAGAAAAACAGAAGGGTGAGAACATGTGGTTAAAACCATGATTGATGATTTGCTTTCAAACATATTTACTAACCCTAGGAAAAGGTAAAAAATGCAAAAAGTCTTATTTATACTACGGCTAATGTTTTGAAAAAACAAAGAAGGGTAGCTAAAAGTTAGCACAGAAGGAGTCCAGGAGAAGATATCTTATTATTTTTTAAATAAATATAACCTTTAAAATTCAAAGAAATGTTTTTTTTGCACTGAACTAAAGTTTTTTTTTCAAAAACGTAATTACATTAAAAATGTGTTTTTAATATCTTTGTGACACAAATGTATCCCATTGAACAAATCAATTAAGTACAGTTGAACTTAACTGCTTTACAATCCTTATTATATAAGTAAATGACTCAAATACCAAAGCTGAGGAAATGCAAAGACGTTCCTACCGTAGTCCATATTAATTTGTCTTGAAGAGAACAGGTCGCATATAAGACGGAGACGTTTTTACAGTACCAGGACATGGGTGAGGTGTGTAGCAGCAGCAGCAGCAGCAGCAGGAGCAGCAGCAGCAGCAGCAGCAGCAGCACTGTTATCTATTTTTACCTGCACTGTAGTTACTTTAACACCCCTGCAGCTCCGAGTGGCTGCTCTTCAGTTACAAACAGGAAACTCAGTAACCTCATTGTGATGCACACGTGTCACAGAAGTGTGGGATGGAAAAAGTTTCTTGATTACAAAGATTGTACATGTTTATAAGAGTGACGTCAAACGGGGTCCGATTTCATCTGTGAAAGAAACCCACACTGCCGCCCAATTGGCTGAAATATGTCACGACATTGAGTCTATTATATGGCCAATACAAATATGTATATTTTTTATCAAATGTATTAATATTTTAAATACATAAACAAATTGATTGAATGAAATAAATATGACTCTTTTTTAGTCATGTGACTTTGTGACGTTGACTGTTTCCCTCTCATTTTAGCATTCAATCATTCATTCATTAATAGGATAACTATCTGTGAATAGGTCTTACCAAAAATGGATATTTGGCTGTTTTTAAACATCCTTCTTCAACTACAGCAGTTAAACTAGAACCTCATGGACCTTCATGTGATTCAGACCAGGAAACACCCGGGACCAGCTCTGGAATAGCGAGCCCAGCTAACACCACATTACACCTAGCACCGGGGCTGTCATCGGGCTAATTAGCCAGCTTACTCACAGCAGAGCCACCACCAAATGATCACAGCGAAAACATTGCTGTCCCAAGCAGCCTGCTCTTTTGGTGTTTCCTGCTTTTTTTTTCTTTATAAACCCGCCCTGCACTGTAACCAACCTGCCCTTAACAGATACGTTTACTGTGAATAGCCTATACGTACTGTACAAAAAAATACCTATGATAATAACAGATTATATTTATAATAACAATATTGATCATGGCCAGAGTGGGCCCATTTTTCAGCACGGGAGTTTCATGCTCAAACCTGGGCCACTTTGCTATGGACGAGGAATTTGAATAAATGAAAAAGCAGCTAGCACTTTTGTTGGGTATAAGTCCAGGTACAAGTTAACAGAAAACACTTCACTTTCACAATGTTTAATTCAAATTAAATTCAGATAAAGAAGGAAAATATCTACGTGATTTTCTGTTTTGTGTATTAGTCTTTATAATAGTGATAAGTCCTAAGAAAGTGAGTGGTAAAGATGAAACGCCATGGAAATAAAGCATAAGAGTACAGAATGAAGGGTCTACGTACGGGCCATCTCTCTGACATGAGCCATTTTCAGAATCTGAAGTGACACCAAAGCTCAGCGCATCAGCAGGTGACAGCATACGTACGTGTTGTACGGTGTGGGTTTATGCTGCAGTAGTTGAACTAAGTGAACTAAGAGGAGCAGGAGATTCGCTCTGTTCTGAGTGGGTAAAACCTGAAAAACACGATTGGTTTAGATCGATCTGACACCATATGCTCAATGGGGTGAATTATGTGAAAAAAAAACCTTCTTACTTGGAGATATGAGACCTGAAGGTCTAGGGTCAAATTGATAATGTTGACTCACTAAAATGAAGCTTTTTAAAAGGCATGGACATTAATATATTTCAATGCACCTTATATATATATATATATATAAATATGAGTGTATATATATACATTATATTTACACTACATATATGTATGTGATTCTATATATTCATCAATAATACAACAATGTCAAAATGGAAAACAGCTGCGGTGTAGCAGAAACATTCATTGAATATGTTTATTTTTGAATGTCAAGTAAAAGTATGGTGAGTACGTTTGTAGAGAAATAGTTAAACATTTGCCAGATATCAGAACATATATAAATATAGAACAGACACATTGATCTAACTTAGCTTATCATGAGTTAAAAAGAGTTAACAAACTGTGGATCTGCCACAGAGTCACATCTGGAGACGGGGAAATTCTGTGCTGACGTCTCATGTTGTCTCACTGCTACATATTTGACAGGAGGAGGAGGAGGTTTGAATGGAGGAGGGAGATCCATCCTGAAGCATCAGGGCAGAGAAAGAAATAACATTATCAAAGTGGAGCTGCAGGAAGAAGAAAAAAAAAAATTCAAATAAGTCGTTGGATGTTCATGTGTTTTTACCTCTGTTTTATTTTGTGTCTCCTGTAAAGAAACCCAGCGGTGAGAATCAGCATAGCAAGGGGAATTAGGATCAACACCAGCAGGTGGCGCTGTGAGGTACCTACAAGACAATTCAGAGGGAAATAAATACCAGACGAGTGGTAGTTATTAAAAAGGACAATATAAACAATTTCCATTTGGCAGAAAAATAGACAGTCTAATGTGGTATAGAGGATGTGAACCATGTCCACAGTTCCATCACCAAGCACTGTAACTGGAACTCATAGGTTCTGGACGGTTTTGGTGTCTATAACATAGGTCACCTTCTCCTGACAACAGGGTCACACCCTTTTGACCTAGTTTTGGACTGTAGATTAGCAGAAGTACGAGTGTGGAATTTAATATTTGCCACTTAATCTTGCTACCAGATGTGGGCCGCAACTCTCGATATACAGACACCTTTTGCTACATATAAACCATGTGATAGTCGGAAAACCTTTAAACACCACATGGGCGACACTTCTGTGACAATATTTTATTGGCTGAATATATTTCAGAAACATTAGGCCTAATATAACAGCTTTAACATGTCTCACCATGTGGTACATTTCTGATGGGACACAGTTAGGAAATCACTGCAGTACATTCCAACGAAAAATAAAATTGAAAGTGAGTGTGTGTCAATGTTATGATTTTAAGAAGTTTAACGCTGTCTGTAGAAGACAAAAATGTCAAAATTGGAGTCTGTAAATAGCTAGTTCACTATATGGAAGTGCAGTTTATTTCAGGAAAAACTTGGCTGCAGTTCTCTATGTAGGACTGGGAAACAGTTTAAAAAAGTTGAGCTATTTTGCTAATATTTTACCTTCATCCCCCTGATCATTCCCAATGTACAGAGGTGAGGTTGCTGTGGTCATCACAGATGTGCTGTTTTCCTTCGTTGTCACTGAGGAACGATCTCCTGGATCCTGTGTGTTTGGTTCAGTTTTGTTTCTAAATTCTTCACCTTTCATTTCCTGAGTTGAACTGGACTCTGTAGCTTCACCAGGAGTGGATGCAGCAGAGGTGAAGGGCGGCTCAGAGTCAGTGTGTGGAGTAAAGGATGACGTGACACCAATGTGGGTGGAACTCGTGAAGTCGGTCGTAGGTTCTCCAGCTGTGGTCGTGACACCGCTGCCGTCGGTCACGCTTGTTGTGATCATTGTGGCCACGGTTACAGTGGAGTCCAGGAACGCAGAGGTCTGTGTGTGTGACGTAGAGAGGCCGCCCTCTGTGTGATCTAACCGACTTGTACTTGTTGTTGTGCTCGACTGTGATGACACTGTTGTTGTGTCTGAAACAACAAAGGGAAACAAACAACAATTCAGTAAGGCATCAGCAGAAGTTTAGGTGTTATCACAAAATAATGAAAAAGGATAGCTAAAAGATCAGTCAAGTTAGCCACAGTTGCTAACCTGGCAACAGGGAGCACAAAAATGCAAAAAGTAAAGGTTTATAGCAATAAACCGACCTTTGTGGATAAATAACAAACTGTTTCGAAAAAGAAAAGTTTTCTTAAAGATATTTAAAAATGTAACCCCCAAACTAGGGGGTTAGCTGGTTTGGCTAAATAGCCTAGAAATAGATGTTATCATAAATTGTCAGAAATTATCCTTGCATGCTTAAAATAGTGAAACCAACGTTAAAGGTTAGCCCATGAACTGATAACACTTACAACAACACAGATGGGAATAAAACAAACAACAATCTGTTATCGGCTTAATGTTTGCTACACACAGGATAGTAATAATTGCAAATTGTTCCAGCAACTGTCAACTTGCCTATTCAACTTTGTAACATATATTCCCTGATCTTATATCTAATCTAAGAAAAACGTTTTTGTTTCCACGAGCATTGATTCATTCTGAGAATCTCCTTTAAAGGCTGTACTTCTGAAACTGTCCAGCAGACTATGCTCTTGCCCTACACCACGATTCAAATGCACTCTTTAGAATTTGTTCATGTGTTTTTTGCTTTGTATTTTAAACAGAGTTACAGCAGGAAGCAGCTTCTGACGTCTGTGTGGTTCAGGACTTTGGTTTGAAATTCTGAGAATATCCTCCTGCTTATACTTCAATCCAGTCACAGCACTCACTATACTCTCCTGCAGGCACAATATGCACTTTGGTTTTTGTGTATTAAAAAAAAAGAAAATATAATTTTATTTTAGCTTAGCTCAATAGTCATCTTCTCCTGAGGGGAAATGGATTTGGCAGGGAAAATTATTTTTTAAATTTTATTTTCAATTAATTCACAGTTTATAGTGAACTCACAATCCCTCAAATCTCTGCTTTTCTGTCCCAGCTAATTAAAATATAAAGTGAGCTACAGTGTAATAACCAAAGTCAAATATGACCTTGTTGCTCTGCTGTGGTACATTAAGTAATCCAGGCTCCTGGGATTTTGGTGAGATTGTTACTCCAGCCCTGAGGACAGACTGAAACGGAGCTGTTAACAGGGTGAGAAAACAGTATGGAAATCTCACCTGCTCTGGTGCTTGTGGTTTGCAGTCTGATGGTGAAATCCTTATGAACATTTTCACTTCCTGCGTTGACGCTCAGTCTATAGACTCCGGCCTCGGTGTCAGTCACCCTCGAGATTTCTAGAGATTTGCTCACTGACACCAGTGTTGTGTTCTAGAGCAACAAAAGCAATAATATACAAAGTTGTGACATGTGTCTAAAGTGATAGAAAAAAGGTGCTTAGATTTAGGTTAAATAGATGCTAGAGGCTGATAAAGAATTAAAATAACTCAAAACAAACAAACAACAAATACCAAAATATTAGTTAGTGGATTAATCAAATATATATGCAGAAATTATGTTGGCTGAAGTAGAAGGATGTCAAAAAATGAAAAATGAAAATGAAAAGAAATGAAAGCCAAGAAGTGTCAAAGACAATGGATGGGTAGCCCATAAAGTTAAGGTTAGTTTTAAACAGCTAAAGCAATGCAGAAACTTTAGGCGTAGCTAGAAAGCTAAGTACGTTAGCTGAATTAGCAATAGCTCAGCCATGTTTGTTGGTAGATTTTGACATTTATTTTCCAATTGTTGGACCGAGAACCATCAGTGTCGTACATACTTTAAAACTTAATGTACGTTTTGATTTAAAATAAAACGGATTGATTTTGTAACCGGGTAAATAGATGGATTGAAGTGACTGACACGGTGAATACTGTCTGTGTTACCTTGGTCCATCTGTATTCTGCATCAGGAGAAGTTGCCTGGCAGCGAATGATCACTTCTCCTGCATAATGGACATCGACCATGCTGTCAGCGTCACACGTTATTTCAACATCTGACAGAGAGGAAAATGTGACATCAATACAGTGATATCTGAAAAACATCAACCTCTTCAATGGTTTCATCGTCAGAAATGGCGGCTGAACAGAGAGCGTGAAGGATATTAGGCCTGGATTATTGGACAACTGCATGACTCTGGACGGAGAGAAAAAGAGGTCAAAGACATGAATGAAAATGTCTGTCCGATAAAGTCATTACCGTAAATGTAACACTGCTAATTCTACCTACGGACCACTGCGTGACCCAGACTCTGCTAATTTTAGTCCCAGTTCTATAATTTTGCTCCAATTGTTTTTCCCCTTGCCATATTATTTTTCATTCTTTTGATTTGCACATCCTGCTTACTTTTAGTCCCTTGAAGTATGTTTTTCTAAGAAAACCTTCACCCTATCATATTAACCAGTTGGACATTCTTCACTTTGGCTTTGTAGCACTTCTTTATTCTTTTTTTTACAGGCTCATAAAGTTTCTTGTTATTACAATCTTAAGGGCAAATTTTTCCAAAGCTTTTTGTCCTTGATAGAGACATGTAACATGTTACTAAATAATAAAAAATGGATTTAATGCTTGTATACTAGCCTCAGAATAGTGGAGACTATAAAAAAGAATTTATGGAGGACAGGGACCTCGCATATCTTTTGTTGTAATGACAGTCCATCCCTCATGAGTTCAGAGATTTGTGGACTCCAAGCTGAGGC